AGGAGCCTAGAAGCGCTGTGTAGCTACATAAAAAGAAGTGGGCTAAAGAGCGAGGATTGAGGAACTCAATACATGAAAATCGAAAATCAAAGAAGTTAAAACCACCTCTGATTAAGACCTAATTAGACATAATTTTCAGCGCATCGTCTGAAAAATGTTTCAACATAAAGAGAAAGTAGTTAATCGAAAAGAGTTGATTAAAAAAATTAGTCTTTTCGAAACCTATTGATACATAGAAATCTTAAACAGTCTTTTCATCAGAAAATGAATCTAGTATAACCATGAAACAAAAACCACCTGCAGATTTGGTAAACCAATCGGTTAAATTACAAATCATCAACAAAATTAACAAATCTATTTCGATTTAGATTGAAGTAAGACGCTGCTGAAATGAAGAAGCATAGTTCAGTAGCAAAGGCATATATCATGTCAATCAAGGCGGTAATTTTGTCACTTTCCGTTGGTTGTAATCTTGCGACAATATTGCGAGAGAGCTGCAAGTATTATGGAGACTTTAGCATTGTTTTAAAAGACATGGCAGTGACAGGCAATGTGTTAAGAACATTTTCCGGGAAAACTAAGCGGCAATGCACACTCGAGTGTATGTCAAACCTTGAGTGTAAATCACTGAACTTTAAAGAAGACGGTGGACAATGTGAGCTGCTTGATCGGAATTTGACATCAAGTATGACAGCTATCAGCAAAAGACTTGGCTGGGTGTACATGACAACAGACGAAGAAGCTTCTAATGTAAGTATTCTTGAAAATAATCTGGGTACCAAAGCCTACAAAATTGGGAAGAGAGATGAATTTCTTAAGCTTTGTTGCCTAGGGTATGTTAGAAATAACTTTGAGTAAGTCCGCAATCATATGTGAACCCATTAAAGTTGGCTTTAAAACAATAAGTAAGTAAGGAAAGAGAAAGTGTAAGACAACTTTGGTCGTGGCAATACATTAATAATATTTGATAATAAATGGTAAGATCATTCTAAAAACGTCCTTTCATTCTTTCTTTGGTTTCTTTCGACATTATATTGATTAGAATGTACAGCAAACGTGGTCTATACTCTTAGGAAAGACCATCTACCTATCAAAATTCTCTCTTTCTTACGCCCCTATAAAACTGTGTCCATGACGATAAAGATTGTTCTCATATAAAATGTTTCACTTGCAATGTCTTGTCACTAGGTTGGTCCACGGTGTGCATTATTGTCTCCTTGCCAAAATGGTGGTAAATGTGTGGATACATGCACTGAAGATGGGTTCAAGTGCCAATGCAAAGAAATGTTTACAGGCAAATATTGCGAAAATGAAAGAAGTAAGGGACACTATCGTACCTGTAAAATGCAGCAACGTAGAAGCCCCGCAGAAGCTCTACTTTCCATTATCAGTAATTTGAAAAATATGTGTGTATTTACGTGTTAGTATATTAAAAATTTGAACTTCTATTCACTAATTTTACACCAGCTATTTTACATGCAATCAAACTTTAAAGACTAGGTGCTCTAAAGAAACAATAATTTGACAAAAACATTGGTTCACAGCTGTACTGTCATCTTTTATGAGATTGAAACCAGCAGACTTGAATATCATCACCGGCCTGTGGTAACAAAGCCATTTTCATTCAGAAGCTCTACCCATCTAAAAACCAACCATCGATGCCTACAGTCACATGTATTCTATAAAACAAGTACCTTTGATGTGAAACCAAAAAGGATGTGTTAAGCAAGTTTCCTCTTTCTGCATTTTCAAGGTTTTGCCAGTTGCCAAGCAGCCTACGAAGCGGGTTATCGCAATGATGGTGTTTACTTGCTTTCAAACATTGGACACCATTATTGTGTTCTGAACGGGACAACGACTTGTAGCGGCGTTGGAGGTTGGACACTAGTGTTAAAGACGGATGGAAGACTGGTAAGAACAACTTTGCTACAAAAATCGCTTATTATCAGGTCAAGAACCAAACAGAAAATTCAGCTTAATGCATAGATTAATAGCATTTTTTGGACAATTATGTGGGTGAATATTTTCGAAATGCTTCTATGGACACATTCATTGAAAAAGGTAATAACAATTTTGTATCAGTTCGAGGAGTTGAGAGAGAGCGTAAGAAATCTATATCTTATGAGATTGTTCTAGTTCTCCGTATTACAGATAAGTCCTTCCCACCCACCCTCCCCCCCCCGCAGCCAACCGCTGAGGGTATCTCTTCCGTCAAGTCATTAGCGGCAATCCTCTACGACAATGAGCCCCTCCAAAAACGCTTAACCAAAGAGTAGCACAACAACGAGTCTTAACGCTCGGGTTTTCTCCCTCAAGTATGGGTGGTCTCTTTCTTCCTCAAGAACAAGGCTCCGCTGTGGCCATGATAGGTCTCGATAGAACCAAAAGATGGATTTCCTGATAGGCGAGGTTCGAAAATTAAATTGAGTACAGCAGATGACAGGCTGCCTTTAAAAGTGAAGCAAAACATGACAATCTTTACTATCTCTAGGATATTTTCTAATGCTCTTGTAAATATGATTTCTCTATACTCTCACGGTAGAACACATTTCAATACGAGTCAAGTCACTGGACATCAAGCAGTGTCTACAACAACGTTTATGCTTTGACAGAGGGTTTTCTTGGCGACCAGGAAGCGAAGTTTCCAGCATTCAATGCATTGCCGGTTACTCACGTTTGTGTTGGGATGAGGTTGGGAAGTGAGAAAAGCTATATTACGCTAGGTCATACATCAACTTCACTTTTGACACACTTTCAAGGCCCATTTCATGGTAAGTTACTGAACCATAAAGACATTACCAAATGTCATAATGATTGGCATCTTAACGAAGCACTCTACTAATCAATGAGAGTTTAAAGAGTCTCCTTTTATGTGACGGCTACGTTTGGTTCTTTTCTGGACGAATATATCATTGCCTTTGAATGAAGTAAATGAATGTTTCTAGCCAGAAGAGTAACTAAAGTAACTTAAAAAGCCAGTAAAGTAACTACTAAAATTACAGCATAGTGTAGTGTGAATATTTAAAGTTTTTAAAGCATTAAAGACCTACTTTGACGGTCTCTGAGAAAAAAAGTGACTTTGAATACATATTATGTAGAATAAATAGAATTGCATGAATACGTAATCATTTTTGCAATATTTTTTAACTTTTATTATCAACAATTGTTTTCAATAGTGCTACAAAAAAACAATACCTTCATTCACTGCAAAGTGTTTCAGCATCTTCTGATTACCTCTTAATGACTTTGAATTCTGTTTTGGGTTAACAAATGGGACCAATAGATATATTTGTGCTCAACAGTAGCGCTTATTGCACTGGTGACCGAAGTGTGATCCTTGACTAACTATACAATTGTCTTCTTTAAAAGCAACTATTCAGGAAAGTAATTGGCGCAATTTGTTGAAAGGAAGCCAGCTCCAGCCCTATTGCAATAGACAAGGGTTCAATAACGTCATTACCGGTAGTGTAGACGCTCGAGTGAGGATTGGAATCCTTGGCAACAACGAGAACAACTGCATCACCCCTGATTCAGCTATTGGCATAGGTATTGGCGGTTCTCATTTACAACCCACTGGCGTTTATACTGGAGCGACAATGAGTGCACAGAAGGTTTTCGGATATATACTCATAAAATAAGTAGATCTGAAGTGAAGAAGTAATGATAACGAATTGATTTCATTACTTTTTGACTAATATCTAGCACTTTAAGAGCACAGTACAAGAGCTATACTTTGTAATGTCCAATGGGTTACGTAACAGGGCATCTGCATCTCCATTTGTCTTTCCTGGACGATGATAAATTCTAAACGGACTGTTTTCTGTAAATATGCCAAATAGTGTTGATTAGCAGAGATAACCTCTGAACTAGTCTGTAATGGCCCACTTCAAGGCAACAAGCCCTAATTTCCCACGGTACATATGATAAAACTTTCAGATTGAGTTAGTGTACGAGATTCGTATGATATCATTCTTATTTGTTTATCCTGTTTTTGATAAAGAACTGCACACAAAAATCCTTTTCAATTGCATCAGTGTGGATTATGTATGCCAAATCGAAATCAGGATATGCCATTATTGATGTACTAGTTATATGGCTAATGAGTTGCTCTAGTCATTTCTGATGTTCCGGTTTCCATTTTACCAATTGTCCATTTGTTTTCTTTGGTATTTTTGAGCTTATCAGAAGCTCAAAACTTTTTGAGCTATTTAAGTATTTTTAATCTGTCAGAAGCTCATTAGTTGGACAGGCAATTGTTAAAAAATTGGGGATAAATCGACGATGATATCCCAGAAGGCCTAGTAATTGTCCCACTTCACCAACGATTGACCTTGTAACCTTGTTCTCATGAATTGCAATTGTTCCATTGTTTTTTTGTGGGACATCTCAACATCAGAAGCTAACGGTAGTCCCGTTACGGTAGCACCTTGTAATTTCCCTGTTTTCTTTTTTTAAAGCCTCTAATGAAATGATCTGAGTTTCCACAAATAAAGCAATGATCACATTTAAACTTCCAACTTCTTTGTATGAAGTGTCCATTGAGCGCTGAGAGTTTTATTGGATTTCGCTTATTCTTTCCGATAATTTTTCACTTCATCGATTCTGTTTTGATGGCTGCAAAGTTACAGCTCATTTGTTCTAGTACTGCAAGAGGTTTTTCTGAATTATCAACATTTTATGTGTGTTTGTGAAAGAGCTTTGTCTGCCACTAAAATTTCATTGACTCTATTTACTTTTGTACTTAGAGCTAGCCTTTTCCTGCCTCTATGCTTCGGCTAAACCTGCCAGTTGCATTTCATTGATTACGATTTCACCATCAACTTTAACTTCTTTTAAAAATAGATGCAGACGCATGCGATTTGTATCATCTGCTAAACCAGTTTCAACTGGTTGGCGAAAAAATCCACTCACTTAACTCGGACTTTACTTTAGATCAGCTCCTGTTTCCTCTCTGCATGCAAATAAAATCTTTTGTGTGCAGTCCATGGCACGTATGAGAAAGTTTACAGGGTCCTCATTCTAATATTGCGACATTGTAAGAAGATGTTGGCAAAGGTTTGTGGCACTTCCCTCCTTATAATCATTCTAATCAGGGGGCGCAGGGGGCGCGATTTTGCTTTTTATCACGTGACCCTATGACGTACATTGTGATAACTCGGAATTTTCCTGTCATTATTAGAGAGTCTACAAAACACGACGCGACAGGTCCAGGCGAACTAAATTCGTTTAGACGCGTGTTGTAAACATTAATATTGCACTGTATACCAGTAGCAGCAATAACAGATTATCACAATCTACGTCACGGTGTCACGTGATTCATTTCCCGCCATAATTTTGAAAGGGTTTTTAAGTAGGAAAATGAATTCAGAAAGGAAAAATATTTCAACAACACTCTCATACAGCATTTTACTTTAAGTTAATAGAAGAAAAAAAATTGGCGCCAAAAGCGTGTCACTTGTCCTTTAAATTAGACCATTTCAACCATCGTTCTCAATACAAGTCTTCTTTTGATTGTCCACATCCACCTCCCAATGCTTTAAGTAGGGACCCCTTACTTTGGGCGCCTAACTTGTTAGACACTCTATTAAAATGGAGAATGACACCAACAATCAAGATATTTTTTGCGATATTCCAGGCCAGGAATTTCGTAATAAAAGGCGAATAAAAACTTGGCCTAGCCTAACAACAACAATGGTTTCGAGGCAAGGTCGGTAAATGACGTAATCAACTGATATCTCTTCTTTAAACATAAGCAACGTGTACACATGGTAAGCGATTGAATTGTCTATGAATTTCACAGGTAGGGAAATCTAGATTATTGGACCTAATGAGCTCACTGTCTTGTTACTATAGTTCATTTTCTGGTAATGCTTCATGTTCGAAGGATAAAGTACTTCTTCATAATAACGGGATTTAAGTTTGTTAAAGTTTTCGATTTAACAAATGCTGGCACTTTAATTGAATGAACACGGGCCGTAATGGATGTCACTATCAATGACTTGGGGTATTTACGTGTTCAGTTTAAACTAGTATCACAGAACAATGCTCAAGCAAGAGACACTTGTCAAATGTTACGCACTAACTAGCATACATGGTTTCAATTTGATTTCAAAATATTTCAATGGATAACGCAATGGTACTTGAATTTAGAATTTAACTCTTTGTCTGCTGTCTAGAGTTTCCAGTAATTAACAAAAAGACTTTTTTGAGAAAATATAAGTTTTAAAAGGGTACAATATATGAAATTTTATGCAAGGTAAATTCCAGGAGCCTAGAAACGCTGTATAGCTTCATAAAAAGAAGTGGGCTACAGAGCGAGGATTGAGGAACTCCTACAGAGCGAGGATTGAGGATACATGAAAATCGAAAATCAGAGAGGTTAAAACTACCTCTAATCAAGACTTAATTAGACATAATGTTCAGCGCATCGTCTGAAAAATGTTTCAACATAAAGAGAAAGTAGTTAATCGAAAAGAGTTGATTGAAAAAATTAGTCTTTTCGAAACCTATTGATACATAGAAATCTTAATCAGTCTTTTCATCGGAAAGTGAATCTAGTATAACCATGAAACAAAAACCACCTGCAGATTTGGTAAACCATTCTTTCTGGTGAGAATGTTCGGTTAAATTCCAAATCATCAGCAAAATTAACAAACCTAATTCAATTTAGATTTAAGGAAGACGCTGCTGAAATGAAGAAGCATAGTTCAGTAGCAAAGGCATATATCATGTCAATCAAGATTGTAATTTTGTCAATTTCCGTTGGTTGTAATCTTGCGACAATATTGAGAGAGAGCTGCCAGTATTATGGAAACTTTAACATCGTTTTACAAGACATGGCAGTGACAGGCAATGTGTTAAGAACATTTTCCGGGAAAACTAAGCGGCAATGCACACTCGAGTGTATGTCAAGCCTTGAATGTAAATCACTGAACTTTAAAGAAGACGATGGACAATGTGAGTTGCTTGATCGGAGTTTGACATCAAGTATGACAGCTATCAGCAAAAGACTTGGCTGGGTGTACATGACAACAGATGAAAAAGCTTCTAATGTAAGTATTCTTTAAAATAATCTGGGTACCAAAGCCTATAAAATTGGGTGGAGAGATGAATTTCTTAGGCCTAGGGTATGTTAGAAATAACTTTGAGTAAGTCCGCGATCATATGTGAACCCATTAAAGTTGGCTTTAAAAAATAAGTAAGAAAAAATGAAAAGATAGTGTAAGAATTAATGATTAACGGTCTTAATGATTAATACATTAGCAATGTTTAAAAATAAATAGTAAGATATTTCGACCTTTCATTTTTTTTTGGTTTCTTTCGACATTATATTGATTAGAATGTACAGCAAACGTGGTCTATACTCACATCAAAGACCATCTACCTATCAAAATCCTCTCTTTCTAACGTCCCTATAAAGCTGTGTCCATGACGATAAAGATTGTTCTCATATAAGATATTTCACTTGCAATGTCTTGTCACTAGGTTGGTCCACGGTGTGCATTATTGTCTCCTTGCCAAAATGGTGGTAAATGTGTGGATACATGCACGGAAGATGGGTTCAAGTGCCAATGCAAAGAAATGTTTACAGGCAAATATTGCGAAAATGAAAGAAGTAAGGGACACTCTCGTACCTGTAAAATGCAGCAATGTAGACTTCCCGATGACTCTGTTAACATCTTTCTATAATTTGTGAAAATTGAAAAATTATTGCACATATGCAAAATGTTTTTGGTACGAAATATGAAAAACATTAATAAATAAACGTTTTGAGAAATTTTTAAGATTTTATATGATACCCTTCAGAGTTGGACATGTCTTTAAAATGTTTCTAGTTCAGAGCCATTTTATTCAAGTAAGATTATTTAAAAAGACTTTTTTGGCTTCAATACATATGGCTTGTATCATCGTGATAATGATAAGAGCATATTCTTTATAAGGGTAGGAGCATTATTTTGCTACTTTGTGACTGACAATTCCCATCTGAGTCTATATCAGACAAAAAGGAAGTTACAGCCAAACGAAAATATAGCTAAATTATTAAAGAATAAGACCAAAAAGGAGCGAGCCTGAAAAAAGAAGATATCAAGTCCAAGGACGGACATATAGCTTTTTTGCTGTTTATGTCCAAGCAAGGGGTTACTTTAAAAAAATATCAATTTTCTTTAAGGCAACCTTCTACTTTCCATTTTCAGCAATTTGAAAATTTGTGTGTATTTGCGTGTTAGTGTATTAAAAATTTGATCTTCTATTCACTAATTTTACACCATCTATTCCATATGTAATTAAACTATAAATGCCTTAAAGACTAGCTGCGTTAAAAAAAAATAATTTGACAAAAACATTGGTTCACAGCTGTGCTGTCATCTTTCATTAAATTGAAACCAGCAGACTTGAATATCATCATCGGTGTGTGGTAACAAAGCCATTTTCATTCAGAAGCTCTACCCATCTAAAAACCAACCATCTATATTTTCAGGCACATGTATTATAAAAAACAAGTAGCTTTGATAGGAAGCCAAAATAAATGTCTAAAGCAAGTTTCCTCTTTCTGCATTTTCAAGGTTTTGCCAGTTGCCAAGCAGCCTACGAAGCGGGTTATCGCAAGGATGGTGTTTACTTGCTTTCAAACATTGGACACCATTATTGTGTTCTGAATGGGACAACGACTTGTAACGGCGTTGGAGGTTGGACACTAGTGTTAAAGACGGATGGAAGACTGGTAAGAACAACTTTGCTACAAAAATCGCTTATTATCAGGTCAAGAACCAAACAGAAAATTCAGCTTAATGCATAGATTAATAGCATTTTTTGGACAATTATGTGGGTAAATATTTTCGAAATGCTTCTATGGACACATTCATTGAAAAAGGTAATAACAATTTTGTATCAGTTCGAGGAGTTGAGAGAGAGCGTAAGAAATCTATATCTTATGAGATTGTTCTAGTTCTCCGTATTACAGATAAGTCCTTCCCACCCACCCTCCCCCCCCCCCACCAATCCGTAGGTATCCTTCCTCAAATTAGCCAACTTCCCTCCACAAGTGAGCCCCCTCAATCCTTCAAATTAGCCCAACACTCTCCTCAAGTAGGTCTCTTTCTTCCTCAAAACAAGCTCCTGTGCCATAAGGCCATAAACCAAAAATGATTTCTATGCCAGTGAAAATTAAATTGAGTACAGCAGATGACAGGCTGCCTTTAAAAGTGAAGCAAAACATGACAATCTTTACTATCTCTAGGATATTTTCTAATGCTCTTGTAAATATGATTTCTCTATACTCTCACGGTAGAACACATTTCAATACGAGTCAAGTCACTGGACATCAAGCAGTGTCTACAACAACGTTTATGCTTTGACAGAGGGTTTTCTTGGCGACCAGGAAGCGAAGTTTCCAGCATTCAATGCATTGCCGGTTACTCACGTTTGTGTTGGGATGAGGTTGGGAAGTGAGAAAAGCTATATTACGCTAGGTCATACATCAACTTCACTTTTGACACACTTTCAAGGCCCATTTCATGGTAAGTTACTGAACCATAAAGACATTACCAAATGTCATAATGATTGGCATCTTAACGAAGCACTCTACTAATCAATGAGAGTTTAAAGAGTCTCCTTTTATGTGACGGCTACGTTTGGTTCTTTTCTGGACGAATATATCATTGCCTTTGAATGAAGTAAATGAATGTTTCTAGCCAGAAGAGTAACTAAAGTAACTTAAAAAGCCAGTAAAGTAACTACTAAAATTACAGCATAGTGTAGTGTGAATATTTAAAGTTTTTAAAGCATTAAAGACCTACTTTGACGGTCTTTGAGAAAAAAAGTGACTTTGAATACATATTATGTAGAATAAATAGAATTGCATGAATACGTAATCATTTTTGCAATATTTTTTAACTTTTATTATCAACAATTGTTTTCAATAGTGCTACAAAAAAACAATACCTTCATTCACTGCAAAGTGTTTCAGCATCTTCTGATTACCTCTTAATGACTTTGAATTCTGTTTTGGGTTAACAAATGGGACCAATAGATATATTTGTGCTCAACAGTAGCGCTTATTGCACTGGTGACCGAAGTGTGATCCTTGACTAACTATACAATTGTCTTCTTTAAAAGCAACTATTCAGGAGGAAAGTAATTGGCGCAATTTGTTGAAAGGAAGCCAGCTCCAGCCCTATTGCAATAGACAAGGATTCAATAACGTCATTTACCGTAGTGTAGACGCTCCGAGTGAGGATTGGAATCCTTGGCAACAACGAGAACAACTGCATCACCCCTGATTTCAGCATTGGCATAGGTATTGGCGGTTCTCATTTACAACCCCATGGCGTTTATACTGGAGCGACAAAGAGTGCACAGAAGGTTTTCGGATATATACTCATAAAATAAGTAGATCTGAGTGAAGAAGTAATGATAACGAATTGATTTCATTACTTTTTGACTAATATCTAGCACTTTAAGAGCACAGTACGAAGAGCTATACTTGTAATGTTCAACTGGGTTACCGTACAGGGACATCTGCATCTCCATTTGTCTTCCTGGACGATGATAAATTCAAACACGAGACTTTTTCTTAAGATATGCCAAATAGTGTATAGCAGAGATAACCTCTGAACTAGTCTGTAATGGCCCACTTCAAAGGCAACAAGCCCTAATTTCCCACGGGTACATATGATAAACTTTCAAGATTAGTTAGGGTTACGAGATTCGTTATGAATATCATTACTTATTGTTTATCCTGTTTTTGATAAAACTGCCACACAAAATCCTTTTCAATTGGCATCAGTGTGGATTCAGTATAGCCAATTCGAATCAGGATATAGCATTACTTTGGATGTTACTGTTATATGGCTAATGAGTTGCCTACGTCATTCTGATTGTTCCGTTTCCCATTTACAATTATCCACTTTTGTTTCTTTGGCTATTTTGAGCTTATCAGAAGCCAAAACTTTTTGACACTTATTTAGAGTTATTTTATCATCTGTCAGGAAGCCTATATTGGACACGGCAATGTAAAAATTTGGGGAAAAATCGACGAATGATATCCCAAGAAGGCCTATAATTTTCCCACTTCACCAAATGACATGTAATTGACTCCTGATGAATTTTCCTTGTTTTTTGTGACATCTCAACATCAAAATGCTAAACGTAGTTCCCTTACGGTACACTTTATCTTCCCTGTTTTCCCTTTTTAAGCCCTAAATGAATGATCTAGTTTCCACAAAATAAAGCAATAATCACATTAACTTGCGAATTTTTGTATGAAGTGTCCATTGAGCGCTGAGAGTTTTGATTGGAATTTAGCTTATTCTTCCGAATAATTTTTCACTCATCGAATTTTTTTGATGGCTGCAAATTACAGCTCATTTTCTCTAAGATACTGCAAGAGGTTCTTTGCTGAATTATCTCTT